GAAGACCCTGCTGGCTGCTGTGCAGGGGAATTAGACCAGCATGGGGAGGACCATCAAGAGGGCCATATGAGGGGATCCTGGTGATTAAGAACTTAAAGACAGGGAGAAATGAACAGATTCAAAGGGTAATCGGAGAATGGGCAGGAGGTGGCTTTACAAAAAAAAATCTGCAAGTATCTCTACAGATGTAAATTAGAAGACTGTTACAGGGTCCTGTGCTGTGAAGTAAGACATCCAATCAAAACAGTAAATTCTCAGAAATTTAGAGGCTGTGTTCACAGGATAGAGGACAGGGTCTATGCCTGGATGTCCTATGAGGCTCTGTTAGCATTCACTTTGTAAAGGCATGGTTCTTGTTTTGTTCTGTTTACTATCCACGGTGTGGACAACAGTCTGCTCGCCAGGCAGCTAAGAGAAAAGGGGAGTATTTCCTCCTCCTTATTTGGCTGAGCTTCCTTTCATCAGCAGTTAAAAAGAGTCTTTGTTTTCCAGGCCACAGTCTGAAATTCCTTTAGAAAAGAGATGAAAAAAAAAAAAAAATCAGGACTTCCTGTGTGGAAGGCAAACAGGGCAGGCTTGGGCAACTTGCCAGTGGAAGATAGGTGGAATTTTTTTTAAAGATTTATTTATTTATTTATATAAGCACTGGGTACAGTCAGAAGCGCGGGAGGGTGAGAGAATTCACCAGAGCCAGAGTGGGAAGCAGAGCAGGCAGAAGGACCGAGTTATACTGCTGAGGGGAGCAGTGGTGACAGGAGAGGTCTGCGCGCCATGTGGGAACCTCGACCGGTGGCCGGGGATTGAACGGTGCAGCAGAGGCTGCAGGCAGCCTCGCAACCCAGCACTCAACCGCTGCAACCATCAGGGAGGCCCAAGAGTGCAGAATTTTGTCTCCGCACAGATGGCCTGACCGAGTGGACATCACCAGGGGGAGGCTTCTGTGGCAGTCAGCATCGTGGAGGTGGAGCTCAACACCAGCCTGACCCTAAATTGCCGGGCTGAGTCTCAGCCAATACCTGAATATCACTGGACCTTTCAAAACACTCAACTGCGATGTATACCGGAGAGCAGCTGATCATTGAGGCCTGTCCCAGGGAACACCAGGGGACCTACAACTGCACGGTCTTCAACCTCTGACCCACCTGACCTGCTCTGCCTCTGTCCTGGTCAGAGCGATAGGTGAGTCCCTCAGGTGCACCCCCCCAGCACACAGGGGAGGGGGCTGGGGGCAGGCATGAGGTTGTGCCAGACCTGGACCCTGATTCTTTCCCCCTGCCCAGGTCCCCAGTCGTCCCTGCCTGCAAGTACCTTGGCTGGCATTGCTGTTGGGATTCTGGTTATCATCTCCCTGGCCACAGGGCTGGGCTGCTTCCTCTACTTCAGAAATACCAGCAGGTAAGCTGGGATAGGGCTGTGGGAGTGGGGTGACCTTCATGGGGCCTGCTTTGGAAGGGGTGTCACTGACCATAGTGGTGAGCTGTGTCCAAGAAATGGAGGTGGGGGGAGATTCAGGGAATTGGGGTCTTGTCCAAGAATGGGCATGGGATATGGGCAGAGGCTGTGCAACAGAAGAGTGAGGGCTTTGGGATTTCTGGTCTTCAAGGAAAACAACAGAAGAACCCATCCATGAGGCTGTAACACCCACCTCTGAGAAGGAGCACCCTGCCGCACCCAATTCTTGTAAGTGACTCTGTAGCTGAAGCCCAGGGCAGCCTTGAGGGCTGGCAGAGGCTGGTGCTGGGACCCAGGCTTCTGCTCCCAATTCTGCCACAGATCATTATGTGATCATGGGCAGGCCCTGCTCTCTCCAAGCTTCAGTGTCCCCATCTGGAAAATGGGTGAGATTGGGGTCAAGAACTCTGCAAGGTTCTATCTGTTCCCACAGCCATCTCAAAGATGAGGCAATATGCTACCATTCTCTCCTTCCTCGCTCTCAGAAAACCTCTTAACTTGCTCTAGACAAAATCAGTTACAACACTGCTCCCTGTTGTATCCAAACCCAGACTCATATCCATCTCAACACTATCCTCGAGCACTGTCTACTAATGAATTGGAATTGACCAAAGACAAAGTGAAATGCCTTGGCCACTCTGGCTTAAGATTCTGGAAGGATGTGCTTTGCAGAATGGAAGTCCTATTGAGACCATCCAATCCAGCTCAGTTTTACAGAAAGAAAACCATCGCCAGGAAGGAGAAAGGTTAAAAGCAGGCTACTGAGGACCCATGGACATAAGTGGGTTAGGTCTTCGATTTCCATCCTCATCTGTGTCCTCAAGCAGCCTTCCCTATCCCAGAATCTGATTTCCAGGACACTCCCAGGTCAGGTTCACTAGAAATGAAGTAGGAACCCTAGGGAGAAAGGAAGGTTTCTGTCATCTCCTTTCTGAGGGTAGGACTGGCCTAGAAAGCCAAGCCCCTTCCCTCATATCTCCTCCTAACTTCAGCCATGGGCTGACGTCCACTTTTCTTTAGACTGGTCACAGCATGTGTATGCCAACGTGCCTGAACCTCAAGCATGGGATGGAGTCCAGAAGGTAGGTGATGCTCCAGAGGAGCCCTCCCTGCTCCCCCGCCCAGCAGGGCTGTTCCAGTCCCACCCTTCAGGGTGCAGGGGTGAGGAATGTTCTCCAGTTGGGTGTCTGCATTGCCTCCCCTGCCTTCTCTGGGATTCTCTAGACACTCCTTGTGTTTTGTGTCTCCTCTCCTTGTCCCCTTATTCTCCAATGTGACAACGCCTCACCTTGAATCCCTCCGGGAGGCCAAAGCTTTTTCTGAAAATTTCTGGAAGTGACCTTTACCTCGAGCCCCAAGAATTTTGTGCTTTCTTTTCCCAAGAAGCTGCAGCAGGGATGCAACATGAGAATTTTGTATTCCTCACATCTGGGAAACTATATTATCTAACTCTTGTGTATTGTAGCTCCAGGGATGGGGGGGGGGAAAGTGACCCAAGGCCTCCCAGGGAACTGGGACAGATTCTAGGACTCTGGCTCCTCTTCTATGTTGCCTCCACTTCCAGGGCTTCTTGGCACTGGAATGTAAATGAGGTGGTACTGGCCTAGCTTGTGCTGGAGCATGAAGGAAGTTTTAGAGTAGAGTTTGCAGAGGTAGCCAGCTGCAAGGAAAGAGTCCTAACCCTACTCTGCCACTGCTCTTTATAAAGCTCTGGATGAATCTCTTCCTCTGTGGGTCTCTGAAGTATGCAAGTTGGCATTTTCTGGAATCTCAGGTAATCTGTATCTGTGGACCCTAGCTGATCTCTCTTTCCACTTGCAGAAAGAGCTGGCTTCCACAACTCCCAGGAGCTATTCTCACAGCGACAGAAAGCCATCACCCAAATTCTTGCAGCCTGCCTTGGCCCCCACTCCACCACAAGGGACACGGAGTCAGACTACGAGGTATTTTTTTGTCCCACTGAGTCTTTGGACAAGAGCTGGCACCCATCTGCCTTTTTCTCCTTGCTGAAGCGTCTGTAGGATAAACCGTCTAGAATTTCCTTAAACATCTTTTCAACTCCCTTCTTTTCCAGCCTATCATTTTCTAGTCCATTTCATTCCTTTCCTTCCCAGTCCACTCCATTCCACACATTTTCATCCTATTTATTTTTCACTCTATCTATTTCTTCCAAGCCATTTAACTTTACTCCATTTCATTTTTCCTTTATCCCAATCACCGGATTGCCAATCCGTTTTCCTCCATTCCACTTCTTCCGTCCCTGCTCCATGTCTTTCATTCCATTTCAACCCCATGTCTATATTCCTTTCCAAAGCTTACTCCATTCCTTTCTTTCTTTCTTTCCTTTTTTTTAAAGATTTATTTATTTATTTATTTATTTATACAAGCACTGGGTACAGTCAGAAGCACAAGAGGGTGAGAGAATTACCCAGAGCCAGAGCGGGAAACAGAACAGGCAGACTGACGAAGTACACTGCTGAGGGGATCAGCGGGCGGCAGGAGAGGTCTGCGCGCCATGTGGGACCCTCGCATCAAACCAGTGCTGCAGAGGCTGCGGGCAGCTTCGCAACCTAGCGCTCAACCACTGCGCCACCAGGGAGGCCCTCCATTCCTTTCATTCTGATCACTGGTGTTATTTTTTATTTCCATTCCACCCTTTCTTCCACATTCCACTGCCTCCTGTTCTACACTTCTTACTCCATCTCCACCTGTCATTTTATTTCATTGCCATTCTTTTTCTTTCTGACCCATTTCTTCCGGTTCCTTCCATTCATATTTAACCTGTTCTATCTCCTACCACATCATTTCTTTCTACTCACTCTTCCGTGCACATTCATTTCCATTTGATTGGTTTCCATTTCATCCACTGGGTTCAGTTTCTTCTCATTCTGTATACTTGTTTTCTATTCACTTTTTTTGTTCACTCCCTTCTTTCTGTTCCCTTCATTTCCTCTTCCCCATTCCTTCCCTTTCCATTCATTTCTGTTTTACTGTTGTCCATTCTCTTCCCTCCTTCTCCCTTTTCAATCCTCTATAGCCCATTACTTCCTACTGTATGTCATTCCAGCCTCTCCTCCCACCCCCTTCCATAGAACCCCACTCTTGTTGTCTTTGCTTCTTCTCATTCCAGCTTCTTGTTTTCAAATCCTTTCATCCCACTCCACTTATGTCCTTACAACTTCATTCCAGCCTTTCTCATCCCCTTGCATTACTGTGGACTTCCTGCATGTTTTATTCAATCCCATGTCATTATTTTATTTTTTTATAAAGATTTATTTATTTATTTATACAAGCACTGCTTATAGTCAGAAGCACAGGAGGGTGAGAGAATTCACCAGAGCCAGAGCAGGGAACAGAACAGGCAGACTGACGAAATAAACTGCTGAGAGGAGCAGTGGGCGCAGCAGGAAAGGTCTGTCGCGCCATGTGGGACCCTCGCCGGCGGCTGGGGATAGAACCGGCACTACAGAGGCTGCGGGCAACTTCACAGCCCAGTGCTCAACCGCTGCGCCACCAGGGGAGGCCCATGTCATTACTTTAGATGCCACAGCATTTCATCCATCCTTTTTTAACTCTCTTCCATTTCACACCTTCATTTCCATTCTTTAATTCCCGTATTTTTTTCCTTTGCTACATTACTTTTTAGTAATTTCTTCTCCGTTCCTTTTCTCTTGTTCATTGCACTGCTTTTTGTTGTATCTTTCATTAAATTCATTTCCTTTCCACTCTCTTCCATTCTGTTCCTATACATCACTTCACTACTCTCACTACTCTTCTTTCCACTCCATTTCATTTGACTTCATTCCTTTTCATTTCCTTCCATCCCTTTCATTTACTTTCTTTTTTTCTTTTATGACTTTTTTTTTAAAGATTTATTCATTTATGTATACAAGAGCTGGGGTACAGGCCAGAGATGAGGGGGGTGAGGGGATTCATCAGAGACAGAGTGGGGAACAGAACAGGAAGACTGACTGAAATACACTGCTGAGGGAGCTGTGGGAGAGACAGGAGAGGTCTGCCTCGCCATGTGGGTTTCTCCCTGGCCGGCCAGGGATCGAACTCGTCGCTGCGGAGGCTGTGGATTGCTTCACAGTTTGGTGCTCAACCCCCTGCGCCACCAGGGAAGCCCCCCTTTCATTCCACCTTCTATGGACACGATGCCATTTTATTCCACTCCATTCTTTGTTTTTAATCTCAGTTGTATTTCTTCCTGTTCTATTCCATTTCTCTACATTCTTGCCTTTTCTATCCCTTTCAATTGCATTTTTAAACAGTCTATTCCTTTTTAATAAATGTCCTTCCCCCCCATCTTTTATTTTCTTTTATATTTACTTCCTTGTGATTTCCTCATGGGAGATGTGAGGCAGCTCACAGCATGTGGTTATATTCTACACTACAAAAAGACGCCAAATTCAAAATAAGAACCACAAACAGGAAGATAATCTTAAATAGTAGAAAGTCAAAATATGGATAAAAAGTAAAAATATGTTGGGCCTACTGGATATCTGTCCCTATACTTATTTGTCCTTGAGTTTCTTGGTGGCCAAATAAAGAGAGGTGTGATCTGTTTCATTACCTAAAGGGAAACATACTATTAGCTTATCCAGGTATAAATAAAGCTTCCCATATCAAGTTCAGGTAATTCAGGTGATGGTTCCTTTGTTCTAAAGACTATAAAATTACTTTAGAGAGCGTAGGTGATAGCAGCGCCATGTCAGGACTGGCCGGGTCACTCCATGCCTAGGGTTAGACTGTAGACCCTATACTCTGAAGGAGTCAGTGACCATACACAACTTACCCACAGGAGGGAAACAGAACAGGGAGGCCAGAACAGGAGCTCAATCCATGTCCTGTTGACAGTGTTTTGTTGTGTTCAGAAAAGAGAAAGTTTAGGGACAGAAAACTAATGTTTTAGTGACGTGCTGGCTCAGAGTAGAGGGACAAATGTGTTTCCTGTCATTCTAGAGGACAGATCAGTTACTTTGGAGGATACATTAGAAGGTGGCAAACTTAAGACCAATTGACAAATGAACCATTCTCAGAAGATGCAAATGTCCTACTTACCTTAGGGATTTTTTTTACTAAGAAAGACAAACCCTCTGAAGGTAATTCAGGTAAAATGGGAATTCATTGGGAGAATACTAGGGAATCTTGAATAGCTCAATTTCAGAAATAACTTGTGGGCCTCATGGAGATGAAGTTTCTCTTTCATGTGCTTGCTTATTTTTGTTGATCTATGAATATGTTTCACTCTTCTCAATCCAGATTGAATTCCTATGCAAGTATCTGGTCACTTCTCCATAACTTCCACTTACATATAACAACATCCTCTACCACTGTTTTAGGGTTTCCAGGTTCAAATTCACCAGAGGAGAATCAGATTGGTCGGGGGATTGTATGGATTGTTTTAGGTTTGTTGGCTTTCTGATCATCTATGAACTGTACACACTTAACCTCCCTTCATCAGGGCCTGGGAAGGGGAGCCATGTTGGTTGCCTTTTATCAGTAGAGCAATAGCTCTTCCTGGAAATCTCAATCCCCAACATCCTCTTACATCTCCTTGGCCAGAATGCTGTCGTGAATGAGCTGAGAAAGTGAGGTGTTATCTTTCCTAGTTTCTTCAATAGAAGGAGACAAGGGAGAAGTTTTGACAAAGAATGTCAGGTCAGCCCACTCAGGGTCTGTTACATTGTGGAGGGGTGAGTGAAACTTGCAAAGGGTCTGGAATGGAATATTCCAAGTTGAGGGCTATCAAGTGATAAGCTTGGAGGTGGGTTAAGGCATTATCTGTTGCTGCATAGCAAATTACCACAAACAAATGAGCAGATTTATTATCTCACTTATGTGGGTCAGAAGTCCAGGAATTGTTTGGATGCATCTTCTGCCATCAAGGTGTTTGCTAAGGCCTAAGTCTCATCTGAGGCTCCACTAGGGGAGGATCCACTTCCAGGCTCATGGGGTTATTGGCAACATTCGTGTCCTTGCAGGCTGTCATTAGGGCCTGTTTCCCACTGGCTGTCAATTGGAGGGCATCCTCAACCTTCTGCCATGTGACCTTCTCCACAGGCAACTCACATTGCATCTTGCTTCTTTGAAATCAAAAGTCATGGAATTATGTAACAGAATCAAGTACATGCAGTCATGACTATCCTGCTACCTTTGCATTATTTTACTGACTAGATTCAAGTCACAGGTCTTGCCCTCAAGGGAAGGGGAAACAGAGGGTGTGACTATCAGGAGGTAGAGATTATAGGGCCCACCTTAGAGTGTGTCCTCCACAGTGGGTAAGTATATGGGCCATTCTGGGAACAGAAATATAGTGATTGAGTTACAGTGAGAAAGGAGGAAGATCTTTGCAATTTGTAAGGATAGGGAGAGTGTCAGAGTGCCTGACCCCTGGACTACAGCAGTAGACCAGGAGAGCCTGCCCAGAAAATGAAATTCATCTTTTCTCTTTGTGTGCAGGTGCTGGTGAATCCAGAATGCAGCATTTACTATCATATCAAACCCAAGGTCTAATGGAAGGAGTGATTCCATCTCCAGAACACCCAGAGAAACCATACTTAATCATATAGTCAGTGAAATGTACTGAGTGCACAATATATTCCAGCCTTTCTCTTTATAGACTTCGTGATGTTCTGTTTCGATGTGTTGTTTGGGCTCCGGACCTGGGCTCCCGCCGCATCTTACTCTTTTGACTCTTGTTTCTTTATAAGCAATAGAAACAGAGAAAAAGTGACCTGGAATTAGAGGATCAAGTTTAGAGATCCAGCAGCTGGAGATGCCACAGCTCCAACACGAGGATGGCAGATCATAGATGATGGACATCCCCTCATCTGAGCAGGGGACGTAGGGAGAGGTCAGACAGTGTCTTTTCAAATCATGGTGGAGAAAAGAAGCAAGGAGCGATTAAGAGACGACAATAGCAAACATAGAATGAAGCAAACTATTGAGGTACCTGGGAAGGAATAGGTATGAGATCCTTAGACTCCTGAGGGACTTGAGTGGTGGAGATGGTGAGAATGAGATTTGCTGAAGAAATACCATTAAAAGAAACACAAATAGGAATGCCATTTTTACTAATACTGTTTTGAAAATGGTAGCCAATGCAATCTATTATCAAAGGGAAAGTGGTAAAAATGCTGGTTAAAAAGGTGAAATTACTGTCTGAAGAGGATGGTCTCACTAGAAATGTCAAGAGAATCACATGAAACATGGTAAGAATTCATAATATTAGTAGGCTCACTAGATAAAAAAGAAGTATCTTAAAAACATCATGGGCCTCCCTGGTGGCACAGCTGGGTTGCGAAGCTGCCCGCAGCCTCTGCAGCGCTGGTTCCATCCCTGGCTGCTTCCCGGCCACCGGAGGAGGGTCCCACACGGCGCGCAGACCTCTCCTGCCGCCCGCTGCTCCCCTCAGCAGTGTACTTCGTCAGTCTGCCTGCTCTACTCTCTGCTCTGGCTCTGGTGAATTCTCTCACCTTCCCGTGCTTCTGACTGTACCCAATGCTTGTATAAAATAAATAAATAAATCTTAAAAAAAAAAAAGAGTTTAAATGTTTAAAAAAAAAACCATCAACCACATTAATGTATTATAAGAAACTCTAGGGGGTAGAGATTACATTTCAAATAGTACATTTCAAATAATACATTTCAAATCACAAACCACAAATAATATTTGTGGTTGTTAAAGAGCAGAATTTATGTGAGGAAAACTACAGTACTTTATAACACTTTGTAAAACCTCAAAAATATATCTTCACATAGCTGGGTTCCAATTTTTAGCTTTCTCCCCAGGTTAGGTGAAAATAAAGATGACAATTTTCCCACAGGGTGACTGTGCTGCTTGTTCGATGTTAAAAGTTTAATATAGAGTCATGAGTTTTATTTAGTCAAAGCAAAGCAAATATTTATTAACCATCTATTGTATGCCAGGTCCCTTTGGTGCTGGGATACATCACTGATCGAAATAGAAATGAATCTTTTCCCTTGTGAAGCTGATAGAAGCAGATCAACAATACACGAAACAAATACCTAAAGTATACAGTGTGTTAGTGAAAAGTTCTCCAGGAAAAAAAAAAAAAACCACAAAGACGAGGAGAGAGGCAGGGAGTACTGGGGAGTGCAGAATTTGTAAGTTTACAGTGTGATGGGGGAATGCCTCATGAGGTGACAGCTCTTGAAAAACCAGATATTGAGAGCTTAGTGGAATTCTCAAAGTAAAAGCCTGTCAGGCAGCAGGAACTGCACTTCCAAAGGTCCTGAGGTGAGAGCCTGCTTGAGCTGTTGGAGATGAAAAGACTGGGGCCGAGCCAGAAAATCCGTCAGGGAGTGGAAGGCATTTTACTGTTACTAAGGACATAAAACAGACTTTTGAGGGCGTTAATGAAACCCTCCTAGACTGTAAAACGCCTTTGTCCCAACAATCTCACAGGTTTATCTTGAGAATCAAGAGACAGTGCGCGAGGAGCATCTGCCAAGGCAGCAGGCACTCAGGAGGGGTCCAGGACGTCTCCCTCTCGATTCCGTTTACAGGGTCACTCGAGGTCATCAAGCCGAGTCCAGGGGCACCGATTCCTGTCCTAACGCATCGCTGCTTTGTCCTCGGCTCCCTGCTCCGCCTCCCACCTCCGCGCCACCCAAAACTCGGACAGGCAGGGTCCCAGACGGGCCCCCAGTCTGACAACTCCTTCATGTCCAGCCGCGTTCCCACGCCCACTTCCAACTCCCGGGCGCTGGAATCGGCGTCTTAGCCCACCGCGCCGCTGTGGCTTCTGGGAATTGTAGTTCCGTGTAGTCCAACCACACGCACTTCCGGGTTCGACCAGAAGCGCAGCCATTGTCCCGCGCGCGGACGCTGGCTCTCGCCGCATACCTCAGCCCTTCGGAGGTTACCCCGAGCGTCCTAGTGGATGCCGACCAAGGGAGGGGGCCGAGCCAGTTAAACCCGAGTCTTGTGCAGAGTCGCAGCAGAGGGTTGCTAAATCGAGTCTGGCCTGCCGCAGGGCGGCGCCGGGCACCGAGGCTGAGGCGAGCCTCACCCGGGCCGCTCGTCCCCGGACGCCCAGGTTGGTGAGGGGCGGGGCGGCGCTGAGCGTCTCTGGCGCGCATGCGCAGGGTCTAGGCGGGAACCTGGTTCGGGGAGTGTGAGTAAATTTGGGACCTGCGCGGGCGGCGCTTCGGCCTGGGTTCACGGAAGTTGGTGGTGAGGCTGATGCTACTGCAGATGCAGGGACTGTGTCTTACGCGCGTGCGTGACTGGTGCTTGGTCAGGTGGTGCCCTGAGGATGCCCTGAGGCTGCCCAGGTTGGTGCAAGGCGGGTCCTATGCAGGCATGTGGGAAGAGCCTGAGAACCCCGCCTCCCCCCTATCCAAGGCTGGGTCTTAGTTTAGTGGGGGACCTGAGGATGACTGGGTTGGTGGAATACTCAATTGCAGATTCTGGTTCCCGGACTCTTGAGGGGGAGATGAGATTCTGGGCATTTGGTTCTGGGACCCAGTAGCAGTCGCTGCTCTTCTTGGAGAACTGAGGGCGCCCCAGGTAGTGGAGAGATCACATTGGCCCTGCAGATTCTTGCCCTGGGAGAGGCAGTCTACTTCAGTGAGCCCTCGGTGGGACTCGAGATTGGAGGAGGACCAGGGACTTAGAAGCAGATTCTAGCCAGGCGTTCCCTGCCCATGTCTGGGGTGTCTGAATGGGATGCAGGAACTTGGAAAGACCTGGGATCCTCTGCCCGTCATTCAAGTTAGGTGGAAACTAGGTTGGAGGTAAAAATTCTGAGCCCAGAAAGGATAGAGTTGCAATAGATGAGGTGAAATCAACAGCAGTTTGGGGAGAAAGTACCATTATGAAGTGGGTGTTTCTGGGATCTTTGCTCAAGGGTGCCATGCTCTGCTTGCAGTCCTGAGGATGCTCGGTCTAACAGAGGGACAGTCTGACTGCAGATTTCAACCTGGAACGGGCTGTACCTTGCATGGAGCCCTGGGGCTCCCGTTTGGGCCAGAGGAAGGGGAAGGACCAACACCATCTGATAGGTGATGCCCTCTCATGAGCTTGAGAACCCTTAGGTGAATGCCCAAGCCCTGGGGCTGACTGAGCTCTGCGCCCCAGCTACAGTTTGGGTGCCCTAATGTTCTGGTGGCAGTCAGGCGGTGGGGCAGATGACCCCAGAACCCTCAGGAAGATTATGGGTATGGGTGACATTGGTGCCCCAAGTAAGTGAGGCACAGAGTGGGGATACAGTTTCTCATCTTAGGAAAAGGGAGATGACCTGGGTCCTGAATGCAAGTTGTGGGCATGAGCCTGCCCTGTGCATGCATGGGTGTGCCAGCAGGAGGAAGGTACACTTGACTCTGTGCAGTGGCTGTTGGAAGAGAAGCCTGAGGCCCCAGGTGGAGCTGCAGCCTCTGGTCTCCGTAGGGTGGAGGCTGCTCCAGCCACATTCTGCACTTGCCCTAACTTTTGGCGGAATGGGGAGGCCTGGATAGCCCTAGGACCCTGTTCTTGTCTGAGGATACCCTCAGTGAAGGGAGCAACTGAAGATTCAGGGTGGCAGAGAAGTAGAGCCCTCTGCTCAGGTGCACAGGTGTTTGGGTGAGAAACAAGAAGCTGCAGTGGGTTTTGGACAGTGGGCGCTGGGTTGCCCCAGTGCAGATGTCGCCCCAGTCACAGCCTGACAATGCCTGGATGGAAGGACAGGCTCTCCCTGAGCTGCAGGTGCCTAGGAAGATGTTTGGGCTGGAGTTGGGTCTGGAGACTTGAGTAGGGGCCTTTGGAGATTGGTGGCAGAAACTGGATTTGGGCACAGGTCCAGGGTACAACATCGTGAATACTGTGGCAGAGAGGGGGTGGGTAGGAGGAAGAGAGGGTGGGATTCGCCAGGGGCTGGTCTTTTCTCTGACCCAGAAACAGTGATTGGTATGAAGACAACTGAGCTACTGAGATGCAAATCCGGAGGGGTAGGCGGATGGGGCTGCCCATGGCCTCCAGGTACTGGTATTTGTCCTGAGGCCCCTGTCCAGTCTCTGTTGCCAGTTAGGTCCCAAGGACACCCAGATTGGTGGCACAGCCAGGCCAGGGAGCTAGCAATATAATCTCAGAACCTGGGGACTTGGGATGGGGATATGGGCTGGCGATGTTCTGTTGTGGCCTAGTCCTGAGAGCAGCTGAATTCTGTACCTACACTTGGCTGTTTGCGCAGGAAGGAGGTGCTTAGGAGAGTTTGCAGAGGGCCAGGCCTGGTTAATGAAGCGTATAGGATCAGTCTTAATCACTGGATTGGCCCCTGGGAGGGGCACACCTGTGTCATGAGCTATGTGTGTTTATTCCAGGAGTGTGACTCTGGGCCCACTAGCCCAGATCCTGTTGCTTGCCCTGGGAAGAGGTGCTGGTTTGGGGCTGCAGACGCAGGCCTGGGTGGAAGGAGTGCATCGCAGGGGATTCTCAATGCATGTGCTGTTTGTAGGGATCCCAGGACCTAGTGGGATAGAGAGGGACCGAGAGATGTTTCAGATTTTGGCAGTAGATGGAAAGCTGAGGCTGGCTTATGGGTAGGTGGGCGAAAGACCTTTGAGAGTTTAGGAACTAGGTAAAAGCTCAGTCATAGCCTGTGGGAGGGACAGAAGCTCTCCGTGCATGCAAAGGCATTTGGGCAGAAACCTCTAGAAGCACATTTGCCAGAGTGAGTACTCCTGGGAAGCAGATAATGCAGGGGGACCTGCTGGAGGGTGCTGTTCTTAGGGCTTTACCTCTTGTACTCAGGACCTCAACCCCGGGCCTGGAGGAGAGCATGGAAGAACAGGATGAGAAGCCCCCAGAACCCCTGAAGGTCTGCGCACAGGTGAGTGGAGCTTCCCTTCTCCTGTGAGACACAGAGCTGATTGCCACTCATGCCCACAGCCCAACCCTCGGGGCTTGGGAGCCTTCCCAGCTCTGTTTGATACCTCCTGACGGCTTCTGACACGTACACACTGTACATGGTTTGAATCTCCTTGCATTTCCTCACCATTCAACTCAGGTAACTCTTTCTGTGAGGCATTTGGCGTCCTTTGTTGAAAGCCCCCAGCAATTCACAGCTTTGTTTGAGAATGAATTGAAAATAGCCCAAATGGAAATTACAAGGGGAGAGCTAAATGAATTGAGGTTCAATGAAAGGAATACTGTGTCCGTGGACATGAGAATGCTGACTTACTGTTAACTGAACTTAAAGTTGTAGCAATAGTTAGACAAAGAATTTATCAGATAATCAAAAGTTGTGATTTGAATCTGGAAGGCAGTCTGGCAGATTTTATTCTGAGAGTTATTTTAATAAATACAAGTTTGGATTTTTTAGTTTATATAGGTAGGGATGGTAAGTCATTGACATTAAGAATAAATTGTTCTTAAAAACTATGAACCAGAGACACTTTTTGGGGGGTGGGGGCCGGAGGGGAGGGATTGGGGTCAGAATGGGGCATGTGCAGTTGTATGGGGGAATATAAAAATAAAATTTATTATTTAATAAAAAAAAAAAGAATAAATTGTTCTTTTTATGTAATTTTTAATTTTAACTTGGGGGTTACATTTTTGCTTTGCCTTATATGTACATATTCCACTCACCCTCCACCAAACTACCTGTGCAAATACCTTCTCTGCTTCCCTCCTCCCCTTCCCTCTCCCTTGGTAACCATTAAGTTCTTTGACTATGTTCAAGATTTGTTCCTGCTATATTTTGCCTGTGTATGTTTTAAGGTTATTTATATTCCACAGATGAGTGAAACCATCCCATCTTTCACTTTCTGACACTTCCCTTAACATAATCACCTGTAGATTCATCCATTTTATCAAAAGCCACTGTATCTTTTTCATGGTTATATAGTATTCCACCGATTATATGTTTCTTTTTTTAAGGAATGTAATTGTTTTTAACAACATCTGAAAGGGATCTTACCTCTAAGTCATATTTAATATTGCAAAGCAATGTTATCTCAAGTTAAAAAAAAGTTAAAAAACACATATTATTTTAAAAATGTAATTTTTCTTGCTAGGAAGGACTTGTAAGTTGTCCTGACCTAAAGATGTGCTGATGCTGAAGGAAAGCAATGCAGGATGAGATGCAAAGTCTGGGTCCCCAATGTTAAATCTTTTATTTGACTCTTTGGTCATCAGTGAGTATGAAAACAGTAACTTTTCCTTCAGGCAGCAGATGCCTGCTGTACAGGACAGAGTCTCTGAAGACAGCTTTGCTTTCTTGTCCGCTTGTCTCAGAAAATTTGACAGTATGTTTGTAATCCTGACATAAAAGACATTTATGATCTATGTGAAGTAAATAGCATTTTAAAATCCCTTTCCAAAAAGGGTTTAGTTGGTGTGTTTACAGAAAACATTCAAGACTGTGAAACACATAAAACAGGAAACAGATTGTCCAGTTACAGTCAAGTGACTTTATGTTTTCAGTTACTTTTTTCATGCTTTTATACAGTGCATCTTAAGGTGAAATGCACAGTTGCAAGCATTTTTCTATAGCAAATATTCTTTGAAAACATCAAATCTCTGAAAAGTGTTAAATTGGAATCTCTCCCCTCCCTGAACAACTCAGCCCTGAAGCCATTAGGCTGCCTGCTGTGCTGTGTCACAGCCTGAGCAGGGTGAAGAGGACCCTTTGGCAGAGGTGACAGATCCCTTGTGGGCTAAGGAACCTCTGTGTGAGAGAGCAAGTGGCAGGGTTGGGGTGGGAGGTTTGTTACTCATGGAGTGGATCAGATAAGTAAGTGTAATAATGGCATGGCATCCATGCTTTTCACCTCAACTCTGGAAGGGGAATGCACATGTGCTCCCTCGCTCCCTCTCTCCATCTTGAGGGTCTGGGGGCAGTGACATTTGACACTAATGCACACACCCTGGGCCCAAATTTTAACTTGGAGATTCCCCCCAGGTTTTAAAGGTTATTGGATATTTAGTGTTCAATTTTTGGCTGTTCCAGATAGCACTACTGTCAGTGATTTTTGTATGTGGTCCCATGTACACACATGCAAGAGTTTTGGAGGGAGTAGTGCAAATATAAATTTAGCTTCACATCATTTGTCAAAGCTACAGGTACAGTGTTTTGTTATGAACTTGATGTGCTTTAAGCTAGCAGTTGTGGGGTGTTTTCTGGGAATCTTCATGACCCTTTGGCCATTTTCTCGTATGTGATTTGATTGAATTAGCTGTCTGTTCATGATTATCTCTACTGTCATTACATCGGTGTTGACTGCCTAACTGGTGCAAGGCCCTGTGTGAGGCTCTGGTGGTTGCCTGGGGTGGTGGGGAGAATGGGATATGTGGATGAAAGAGAACGAAGACTCAGTTATGCAGTATGATTAAGTCCTGGGGAACTAATGGAGGTTGTTAAAGACACTCAATTGAGTCCTTGAAATTTGCCAAAAGAGTAGATCTTAAGTGTTCTCACCACACACCAAAAAATCACAACTGTGTGAGGTGGTGATTGTATTCGTTAGCTGACTATAGTGCTCATTTCACACTGTTTAAGCTGTGCACACCTTAAATATACTTAGTTCTCATTTGTCAGGCACACTGCAACGAATGTGTAAAATAACTTAATAAGTTGCTGATAGTGAAAAGTAAATGAAAATGTGTAGAGTAAAGAGTAGTGGGGGTTAGAGGCTTCTCCTTCCAAACCTTGACATAGCTCTGGATATGTCAGATTCAGATGGTTCTCACTGGACTCCCATTCATTACTGAGGAGAATACAAAGATGAAAAATACACAGTTCTTTATAGTATAGAATTCGTGGCTCCGGGAGCGATACATGGAGATGAAAGTGTATATTCCAGCAGGTAAATGACTTTACCAACACAGTAAACATTCAATAAAAATAGCAAAGAAATCCCACGGGAAGATGAGATGAGACTTTGCACTCACATTATAGAAGAGGGGACATTTGACCTAGGCCTTGAGTGTGGAAATGGGAGGAGTTTGGATCAGAGAACCAGTGTTTGGACCATCACTGGACCTAAATGAGTTCACTGAATTTCATTATCCTTAATTAATTTTACATTGGTGAAATAGATGTATCATGCATTTCTTCAAAAAATTCAGATAATTGTGTGGGGTATTCCATGTTGAAGTACTTATGTATTTTTAAAACTACCAGGCAAGGGCCTCCCCGGTGGCGCAGCGGTTGAGCGCTGGGTTGCGAAGCTGCCCGCGGCCTCTGCGGCGCCAGTTCGATCCCCGGCTGCTCCCCGGCCACCGGAGGAGGGTCCCACATGGCGCGCAGACCTCTCCTGCCGCCCGCTGCTCCCCTCAGCAGTGTGCTTCGGTCCTTCTGCCTGCTCTGCTCCCCGCTCTGGCTCTGGTGAATTCTCTCACCCTCCCGCGCTTCTGACTGTACCCAGTGCATGTATAAACAAAAAAAACAAACAAATAAAGAAAGAAAGAAAGAAAGAAAAACATGCCTCTATATATATAAAAAAAAAAAAACAAACAAACAAAAAAAAAAAAAAACTACCAGGCAAGTGACAGGTGACATCAGAAGGAAACCCCAGGAGACATTCTTCAGTGCTCTAGATAGAATCAAAGTGGAAAGTATGTAGTACATGTATGTATTCACAGGCTTTTGTTCCAAGACAGTTTTTTTTTTTTTTTTAAAGATTTATTTATTTATTTATTCATTCATTCATTTATACAAGCACTGGGTACAGTCAGAAGCGCGGGAGGGTGAGAGAATTCGCCAGAGCCAGAGCGGGGAGCAGAGCAGGCAGAAGGACCAAAGGACACTGCTGAGGGGAGCAGCGGGCGGCAGGAGAGGTCTGTGTGCCATGTGGGACCCTCCTCTGGTGGCCGGGGAGCACCAGGGAGCAGCCGGGGAGCAGCCGGGGATCGAACCGGCGCTGCAGAGGCTCGGGCAGCTTCGCAACCCAGCACTCAACCGCTGCGCCACCGGGGAGGCCCCAAGACAGTTTTGAGTGTTTAGTTTAAGAGAATTAAGTGTGGAGTAGGGCTGCAGCTTTGAATTTTTTGAGGAGAGAGCAGAGGGTGAGCTAACCAGAGTTGGGACTTGTGTGCAGCAGGATTTGGTGCTTCAGGGACACAGGAATGGAGGTGAAGACGTGTATAGCACATTCCGTGTCCCTTCTCAGGAGCAGTTTTCCTTGTCAGCATATTTATGAAGTACTTACTATGTGTCAGTGCTGATTGAAGCCCAGTAAGACCATGGTAAAAAGGAGAGAAGAGAGCTCCCCTCTTCTGGAGCCCACTCTCATTGGAAGAGTTGGACAAAAAACCTAAGCTAGGGGCCTCGCTGGTGGCACAAGGGGTTAAGACGCAACCTGTGAAGCTATCTCCAGCCACTGCAGCAGGAGTTCGATCCCTGGCCAGGGAGCAACCCACATGGCGCAGCAGACCTCTCCTGACTTGCCCGCTGCTCCCTCAGCAGTGTATTTCCGTCGATCTGCCTGTTCTGTTCCCCACTCTGTCTCATGTGAATCCTCTCAACCCCGTATCTCTGGCCTGTACCCCAATTCTTGTATGCATAAATAAATAAATCTTTAAAAAAAAAACAAACCTAAGCTATAAGTATATGTGCCACACAAACGAAAGCAGGGCAAAGTGGTAGAATCGATAGCAAACATTCTGGAGTTTTGCTTCCACCAGTGCCAGCTGAGTTAGAAACATGATGTGTTTCAGTTTTTGCCATGATTTCTTAACTGAATTTATTTAATTTGTTTATAAAAGCAGTTAAACTGGAAGTGTATGTAATACTGTAAAATACATGCTAGTATTTGTAAGTTTTCCTTTCTTTTTTTTTTTTATTTTTTTTTAATTTTATAGAGGCATGTTTTTTATTTATTTATTTATTTAATTTGTTTGTTTGTTTTGTTTATACATGCACTGGGTAGAGTCAGAAGCGCGGGAGGGTGAGAGAATTCACCAGAGCCAGAGCAGGGAGCAGAGCAGGCAGAAGGACCGAAGTACACTGCTGAGGGGAGCAGCGGGCGGCAGGAGAGGTCTGCACGCCATGTGGGACCCTCCTCCGGTGGCCGGGGAGCAGCCGGGGATCGAACCGGCACCGCAGAGGCCGTGGGCAGCTTCACAACCCAGCACTCAACCGCTGCGCCACCAGGGAGGCCCAAGTTTTCCTTTCTTGAGGAACTTTTCTCATTCCCAGTTTTTTTGTTTGTTAGAATCACCTAACTTCTGGACTTTAGATTGTTAGAGTTCCACATCCACCTCTTCTGCTGAAGGAAAGGCGCTCTTGGGCATTGTCATGCTTTAGGGATGCAGTTTCTCTCAACTTGCCATAACGTGCGTGAGTCTGTAAGTGGCTTGGAGTCAAAGCTCATGGCTCCCTGGCACGGTCTGTAGTCTTGGTCCTATTGTCTTGACACTGTGAGTCTGATTTGTTGCTTTTTGTGTTTCGATGTCTGGGGCTGGCTCGTGATGCCCACGCAGCAGTGTTGAGGTGGTGTAACCATCCTGGTGTTTATGTTTGACAGGACGGCAGATGACTTGGCCTCCAAGCTTTCCCACTGGGGCTTCCATACATAGTGGCAGCTCCAACTCTCTTAATACCCCACATTACCCTAGCCAGGAGAGCTACAGAGGGGCTTTTAGATTTTAAGAAGTCTTCTGACTTGAAACATATTAATGTTAACCATTTTTTATAACCATTCCCAATGCTGTAGTCACATTTTCTCTAGGTTGAAAAGACACCTGTAAAAAGTACAATCTTTTGTTTCCTTCTAGCTTATGACTCAGAAATTAAAGAATTGAATAATAATAACAAAATATTTCAGTGTTTGAAGATTTAAGAAGGAACAAAGTATACTTGAATTGCAGTGTCTGCATTTGACAGGTTGTGAGTTATTGTTCTCTATTCAAAAGAACTGCAGGAACCTACAGAGGAATTACCTTGTTTCTAGGAGGGAAACATTTTTGCTGGATTCTGAATATTAAAGGAAAATAAATATTTTTAAAAATACAGTATTAAACATAGGCATGAGCGCCTCCCCGGTGGCGCAAGGGGTTAAGATGCAACCCATGGAGCTGTTCACAGCCACTGTAGCGTGAGTTCGATCCCCAGGCAGGGAGCTACCCACATGGTGTAGCAGACTGCTCCTGCCTCACCCGCTGCTCCTCTCTGCAGTGTATTTCAGTCAATCTGCCTTTTCTGTTCCCCACTCTGTCTCTGGTGAATCCTCTCACCCCCACATCTGTAGCCTGTACCCCCATTCTTATATGCATAAATAAATAAATCTTTTTTTAAAAAAACATAGGCATGAACTTGCCTGCCACTTCTACCCTTCTGAAAAATAACTGTTTTTAATGGTTTTGTGACTGTCCTTCCAGACTCCTCTGTGCAGGTTTATACCCTATAAAAATCTACTTATATTCAATGAACTGTTCTTAATTTTTTCACTTAACAATTTATGTTATAGATATCTTATTGCCATTTATATGCATCAGTCCATGCAAATATCTCTTATTTTGGCTGCTAAAAAGTGTTCAGGTACCTGGACAAAGCATCATTTATTTAACGAGGCTTGACATTTACTCCCTCCTCCCATTTTTGTCCTAATCATGTAACGCTTTAATGAAATTTCTTTTTTTAAAAAAAGATTTATTTATTTATACAAGAACCGGGGTATAGGCCAGAGGTGCAGGAGGGTGAGAGGATTCACCAGAGACACAGTGGGGAACAGAACAGGCAGATTGACTGAAATACACTGCTGAGGGGAGCAGTGAGCGAGACAGGAGAGGTCTGCCGTGCCATGTGGGTATCTCCCTTGCTGGCCGGGATTGAACCCATGCTGCAGAGGCTGCAGACAGCTTCACAGTGCTGCGCTCAACCACCTGCGTTGCCAGGGTGGCCCCAACCCCCCAATCTATTTGGAAAGACAAATTAACCAGTCACAAAACTTTGTTGGTGGATTTTTTTTTTTAAGAGGCATGTATTATTTATTTATTTGTTTGTTTGTTTGTTTATACATGCACTGGGTACAGTCAGAAGCGCGGGAGGGTGAGAGAATTCACCAGGGCCAGAGCGGGGAGCAGAGCAGGTAGAAGGACCGAAGTACACTGCTGAGGGGAGCAGCGGGCGGCAGGAGAGGTCTGCGCGCCATGTGGGACCCTCCTCCGGTGGCCGGGGAGCAGCTGGGGATGGAACTGGCGCTGCAGAGGCCGCGGGCAACTTTGCAACCCAGCGCTCAACCGCTGCGCCACCGGGGAGGCCCTGTTGGTGAATTTTAATACAATAATGTCTACAAATAATAGAGATTCCTTGAGAGTCAAGGGAAAGAAGTCTGAACAGAATAATCCTTATTGATGGTGCCTTTCATGGTAATGCTTTTTGCCAAACATTTGTGAAGCTGATTTGTTGACTGTCTCCTTTATGGTTCTCTGGTCAAGCTGCATTCCATCTTATTTGCTTACAATTCCATGATCCAGGACTTAAGGCGAAAGGCCTAGCTGGATTCTTCCACACAGTACCTGGAATCACTCACTGGGTTCCTATCAACTGGTAGCCAGGCTGGTCTGGAAGATCCCCAAATCCTTATGCCCATGACAGCTGTCTCAGAGCTCATCCAGATGTCCCCTCTCTCTTCACATGGCTAGCTTGAGCACACCCTTGGAAGGGAGCCAAAGTTTGATAGTAGGGATGGGTTAAAAGAAGTTGCATGTCAGACCCTCACCTACTCACAGTGGGAATGTTGATCCGGACGTAGCTCCCTGATTGTTTTCTTTTTTCTTGTCTGTTTGCCTTGCCAGGAGTCTCTTCTTCCTCAGGAAGTAATCATCAAGGTCGAGAGAGAAGATGCTGGGTCCTTGGCTCCCCCAGCCCAGGTGAGCTGGACACAGCTTCTTTACAACATGCACGACAAACCAGGTTAACTGGGAAGTGAGTAGAAAGTGAGGAAATAGAGGTAAGAGTGGGCAGCTCCTACAAGAAATTTGATTATGGTGTGAAAGCTTCAAGAGGGTATAGCTACAAAGACTACTGAGGTTTGAGGGATCCTTGTTTTTGACTCTGTTTAAGTGGTTGCAAGAAGGAGTTATTGGAGAAAAAGAAGTTAATGATCGAGAGAGAATAGATAAAGGTGATAGGCAAAGTCCTTCATTAGTGTCAGAGGAATGAATTCAGAGTATACATAGAATGAAGCTGCTCTATAGTGGAAGAAGGACTAGGAAGAATAAGGTTTAGGAAGTTATTTAAAGGCTTGGATTGATTTGTCTCTGTGAACAATAAGATGATGTTGTCTTTTGGGCAAGAAGGTAGAAATAGGAACAGAAAGAGAATTTACAACAGTGGAAAAGGCTTGAAATACTGATTTTGGATTATGGGAGAACAGACTGGTCCAAGAGGTATAATCCATCTAAAGGCATATGTTGACCATTTAGTGATCATAGTCTTTCCAGCGGCCTTTTTGTTTTTTTGCTTGTTTCTCAGAAGCATTCTATAACTTCTTTTCTGTTTTTTTAAAGATTTATTTATTTATGCATACAAGAACTGGGGTACAGGCCAGAGGTGTGGGGGGTGAGGGAATTCACCAGAGACAGAGTGGGGAATAGAACAGGCAGATTGACTGAAATACACTGCTGAGGGGAGCAGCAGGCAAGTCAGGAGAGGTCTGCTGTGCCATGTGGGTAGCTCCCTGGCCAGGGATTGAACTCCTGCTGCAGTAGCTGCGGAAAGCTTCATAGGCTGCGTCTTAACCCCTTGCGCCACCAGGGAGGCCCTCTGTAACCTCTTTTCTATAGATAGCAAGTTGACATTCAGAATTTGCTTTTTTGCAATCTGCCAAGTACATCCTATGGATTCTCCATAGGTCAAGGTGGTAGTTGAAAGGGAACTTCTGAATTTATCAAATAAGAATAAAAGAAATGATCCACAGACTTTAAACTGAATAATTCAGATGGAAAAGATAAAGAAGTTGCTAAGAAAAATGATACAGACTGGTAAGAGTCATGGTGGCTACTTAAATTCTGCAGTGGCTCCAAAGCATGGAAGCAGAAGAAAGGAAGTGACTGAGCAAGTAAAGCAGAGCAATCTGATGTAATTAAAAAATAACAATAATTTGATGTTGGAATCAAAGAGTGGACATTTCTGTATGTGTGATTTGGGAGGTGGAGTTCTTTATGGTGATTTTTAAGGTCTAAGAGGGCCTTGGAGCTTGGGCTGGTCATGTGAACATAACCTCTCAAGCCATGCAAATGAGCTATTGACCTTGGGTGGTGTATGTCTTAATTTCTCTAACCTTCTAGATGTTTATCTAACAATGATGCTGCTACTAGTATTTTTTCAAAGGAACTCTGTGAGACTTAAATGAATAATTTATCTGACACGCTTTGCACACTGCTTGACTCCACACGCTTAATGCTTCCTTAAAGTCAGTTAATTTTGTTACTATCGGAAAATTCTACAAGTGGATTGTGTGGACAGTGCAAGATGAGATGAGACAATGCAAGCTCTTGAACTGGAGGATAAATCTAGGTGTAAGTTTTCAGTGGATGAGGGGGAGGTGGTAATTAAGAGGTTGGCAAGACAAGGCCCCAAGAAGTGAGGTAAACAGCTTGAGTTTCAGTGTGACTGGGAGAACACACACCCTCACCCCTTTGAGACCCCCAGGAGGGGGAGCACGACTACCCTGAGTCTGCTGCAGAGGAGGGAATCCTGGGGAAGTGTTGGTTGCTGATAACACAGGGATGTATGGGGAATTTTTGGTGAAGGATGTTGAAGCTGTAGGATATAATTTACAGAAATGCATTTGTGAGGGTCCAGTTGAAGGTTTGGGAAGGAATTTTGAGGATTGGGTTATTGGTACAGAAGAGAGGAATAACAGGATATGTAGGGCAAGAAGTCCAGAAGAGCCCTATCTACACACTGGAGGACTGGGTCAGTGGGTAAGTGATAGGCCTTGTCTAATTCAGGTGAGAGGCAAGGACTTAAACCAGAGTTTGGATCAGGTTATTTTGATATATTACAAAGTTGATTTAAGATACTATTGATTCATTTATTGAAATATCTTCCCAGTATTTACTTAGTATTTAAATCTAAACTCTGCAAACTGTAAATACCTTGTTCTGCCCTCATGGGTTTTAGTCTAGTGTCTAGGTAACTATTATGAAAATGATAAGAAAATGTGGTGAGGATATGATAGAGATCCACGGGACTTTGAGAATATATAGAGCAGTGTGCTCATCTAGTTTGTTGTTATTTATTTGACATTTGAACAAACTTGATATTAAAGGGACCTACATTAAACAGCAAAGGGGAGTGTTTATTAAAAGGAAGCACAGAGCTGAGGTTAAAAAACAGAACCGATAGACCCCTCCCTGTTCAACACAGGAGACAGTATGCAGATATTTCTTAACCCCATTGATCATGAAAACCTTTGTGATTTTGGTGAAATTCATGGTGCCTAACTTAGAAAAATGCATGCACAGCAGCACTTTGCGTGGCGTTTCGTAGGGTTCAGGGACTCCACGTCATGTTTATCAACCAGAGCTTAAAAGCACCAGGGCTATTTCAAAAGACTTTAGTGGCAGGTGGCATTTGACTTCCCTGACTCTTGTTGCCTTTGGTAAGGACAGAATACCCTCAGCACTTTTGGATCCAAATTCCTGTTCAGAAGAGGTAGCTGGAGAGACCCGTTTAGTACAGTGTCTCCTCAGGGCCCTAAAGAGCAGCTCTGAATGTGGACAAAATGAAACTGTCATCTGAAGACTGTCAGGAAAAAGGTCACATTGGCTGTTAATTAATTTGTCAGAATTTTCAGCTAATAATCCTAATAATAATCACCAGCCTTTCTTTGTTCACCAGCTCTGCTGATGGCTTTCCATATATCATCCAGTTAGTTTACTCAACAACTCAAAGAGTCATGTAGAATGAAACCTAATAAATAGAGATGGAATACAGCATTAAAAGACAACACCAAGTTGTGTGTGTGTGTATATATATATATTTTTTTTCTTTTTTAATTCAAACATTCTCTTCATGGTAAGAAAACCCAAGTCTCTTGTCTCAAATCCAGTGCTCTTACTCTCTACATACTGCCTTTCACTAAGGCCCAGATTTAATTTTCTGTTTCAGGCATCAGTGGACCAACGCTGGCCTACCACTTCTTTCTGTAAATACAGTTTATTGTGATATAGCTACACCTGCTTGTTTATATGGCTGCTTTCTTGCTACAGCAGCAGAGCTGAGTGGTTGTGACAGAAACTTTGTGACTTGCAAAGCCTAAAATAATTGCTTTGGTCTTTATCAGACAAAATTTGCTAAATATAATTCTGTTCATTTCTTGTGAGTTTAGATGGACTTCCAAAGTGAAAATTCTATATTCACCTGTAAAAAATAAATAAGCTTTTTCTGTAAAGAGAGAAAACAATTTATATCAGTTCTCATCTAGTGTTCCTCTTTGGGATGGTAAAAAAAAAGGTCCAGCATTTAAAACCCAAAGGGGCTCACCTAGAAGGCATCTGTACCCTTATACTAGAATCCTTTGGACACTGACAATCTCAGTACAGCATCTAGATCACCCAGTTTTCAGTCTTCCATCTGTGAAACTTTTCCTTCTCTGTGAACATTGGAAGGAAATGATGCCCAGCTGAGCAGGAATGTGTATCCTGTTTTAGGAAGGAGTGAACTTAAAAATTGTGACTGTGGACTTCACTCAAGAGGAAGAGTGCATTTTGAACTCTGCTCAGAGGACTGTGGACAGAGATGTGATCCTGGATAACGACAGGGACCTGGTCTCTTGGGGTAAGAATACAGTCCTCTGTAATGAAATCTGTATGTTGAAGTTATTTCTCACTTCCATTGATTAAGAGAGATGGAGTTCTGAGGCTTAAATGATTTTGGCCATTGAGTTTGTGCTTTGTTATTACCTAGGAAGGATTTAATTTTAATTTGCAGCATAGAAAAGGTACAACTTTATGAGTTTGACTTTGTTCAGTCTTCATGTTTCCTGAAAGCCAAAGAGAAATTCTGTAGTGATTTTCTTTTGTCCCCAGCCCAAACACCCAAAATCCAATGCCTTTCAGCTTTTCAAACTAGACTCAGTATCGTAATTGGAACAAGTAGATAAGTATAAAAAGAATTTGCCAACAAACTTATTCAGGTAAGAACTTACTGGTATAGGTTTTTTTGGGAACTCCCCATTGGGGATGCTACCTTTTTGCTATCTCCCAGACCAAGTCAATTGTGTGTATCACCACTTTTTCCAGGTGCACCCTTTATTATTTGACCTTGTTTTCAAAGTATCTACCTTACTTTCAGCTTCTAAGCTAACCTGTATTCTATCTCATTTGAAATCACAGGAAAACACAGGGTCATATTAGCCCTTAAGGCATTTTGGGAACCTAGAATAAGTGTCCCTATTCATTTTCTTGGTTCACAAAATGAATAGGAAGTTTGTGCATTACTGACATAGGCTATGCTAGCTAGTTTTATACCTTAGAAATTTCCTGGAAATATAGACAATAATTTCTAGTTTAGTGAAGATGTGTTTGGCAATAAAGAGGGTGATTTTCTTTGCTAATGATTGCAAAGTTGGTTTGATAGTAGGGCAGGTACTGTGTAAGTGATCTTATTTTGGAATATGGAGAACATTGGCATTAATGCCTATTTTCAGAAAACTAAGATTAAGATAGCATGTACTACATTTTAATGTCCTGTTATACTATTGGGCTAAGATTGTTGCTGCTTTACTGATTTATCCTGCTCTTTTATTTCCCAATCCAAGTTATAACTCCGTAACTGAAATCCACATGTATTTTTCCTCCTCCTGTTCCAGCTCTAATACTTTTTGGCTGCAATATTTTATATTGCTTTCTTCCAGACTTGGCAACTGTGCTTGGAAAAAGAGACTACACATCAAAGCAGAGCATTTTTGATAACAAACCATCCCATGAAGTGAAGATGGAAAAGTTAACAAGAGATGATCCATGGTTGTCTTCATGTGAAGAAATTTGGGATTGTAAGGACCATTTGGGGAAGCAACAGGAAAAACAAGAGAGGCTTTTGAAGGAAGTGGCATTCACTCAAAGGAAAGCTATTACTCATGAAATAGTCTGTAAGAGCGATGAAAATGAGGAGAAAAGTGGTCTGAATTCTAGTCTTTCAAGCCAGATGTTACCCATAAAAAACCATTTTCGTAAACATGCCTCACATTTTAAGAAATTACACCTTAATTCTGTTGTAAGCAGTCATCAGATGATTAATGATAGTGAAAAACTCTATGAAAACAATGAGCGTGGAAACCACTCCCACAGCATTCACCTTATTCAGTTTACAAGAACTCAAACAGAAGATAAATCCTATGAGTTTAGTGATAGTATTCAGTCTTTTAGTGATAGTGTGCACTTAAGTATGCATGAGAAAATACATGCAAGAGGAAAGTCCTTTGATTTTAAGGAATGTGGACAAGTTTTGCACCATGGCCTATGCCATAATGAACAAGAGAAAATTCCTATTGAAGAGAATCAATATAAATGTAAAGCGTCTCAGAGTTCATCCCTTACTCAAAATATAAGAAATCATTCTGAAGAGAAGCCCTTTGAATGTAATCAGTGTGGGAAATGCTTCAGCTGGAGCTCTCATCTTGTTGCACATCAGAGAACTCACACAGGGGAGAAACCTTATGAATGTAATGAGTGTGGGAAGTCTTTCAGCCGGAGTTCTCACCTCGTTTCCCATCAGAGAACTCATACTGGGGAGAAACCATACAGATGTAATCAGTGTGGGAAATCCTTTAGCCAGAGTTATGTCCTTGTTGTGCATCAAAGAACTCATACTGGAGAGAAACCTTATGAATGCAGTCAATGTGGAAAGTCATTCAGGCAGAGCTATAAACTTATTGCACATCAAAGAACACATACTGGAGAAAAGCCCTATGAATGCAATCAGTGTGGAAAATCATTTATCCAGAGCTATAAACTTATTGCACATCAACGAATACATACTGGAGAAAAACCCTATGAGTGCAATCAATGTGGAAAGTCCTTTAGTCAGAGTTATAAACTTGTTGCCCATCAAAGAACTCACACAGGAGAAAAACCCTTTGAATGTAACCAGTGTGGAAAATCTTTTAGCTGGAGCTCTCAGCTTGTTGCACATCAAAGAACTCATACTGGGGAGAAACCTTATGAATGTAATGAGTGTGGGAAATCTTTCAACCGCAGTTCTCACCTTGTTATGCATCAGAGGACCCATACTGGAGAAAAACCCTACGAATGTAATCAATGCGGGAAATCCTTTAGCCAGAGTTATGTTCTTGTTGTACATCAGAGAACTCATACTGGAGAAAAGCCCTATGAATGCAGTCAGTGTGGAAAATCCTTCAGGCAGAGCTCATGCCTTACTCAACATCAGAGGACTCATACTGGAGAGAAACCGTATGAATGTAATCAGTGTGGAAAAACATTCAGTTTGAGTGCTCGACTTATTGTACATCAAAGAACTCATACTGGAGAGAAACCCTTCACATGTAACCAGTGTGGGAAAGCTTTCATTAACAGCTCTAAACTTATTAGGCATCAGGCAACACATACTGAGGAGAAACCCTATGACTGTAACTAGTTTGGAAATCTTCACCCAGAGTATATTCCACTTTCTTTTGTAAGGGAGTATATCTGTTAGAAAGAATTAGCATAAAAATTATGTGGAAAGCTCTCAGTCCTCTGTTGTTTTGTGTCTGGAATTTATCCTGAAGACACAAGGGAGAAACTAAATCACAGCCTTAGCAATTTCATATACAAAGTCAAACATGGCCCGTGTGACATGGTCCCACAAAAATAGTAAATGTGAGCACTTTTTCTTCCAGAAAACTGTCCAATATGAATCTGAGAGATTTACCTTTAAATGGACAGTATGCTATGGAGTAAAGGCCGGTGAAGTAGACCTTTTTTTCCCCCAATAAAGAGTAAATGAGAATGCTAACACTGCTAGACTTCTTGCTGGGATTGGAAACTTGCTGAAGTTATCAGAACTTAGATTGGAAAACAGAATTTCAATGTAAGATTTTATGGCATGATTTCCCCAGTTATTACTGTTTCATATGGCACTTTTTCTTGTGATAAAACTCATAAATTTTGAGGAAATGACTTTGACATGAAGTTTAAAATGCAGGACAAGAATATAGAACATTCATTTCTAGAATTGTCATGATATTCATGTATCATGCCTTAGAATTGAAAGGGATTCTGGGTCTGTATATTTCATTGTTACAGTTATGCCTGGTTTTCTTTTTTGGGATATATGATATTTTGATATAACATATAATACAAGTAAAAATTAGTCAAAATCAAAAAAAGAAATACAAAGATTTCCATCTCCTTTGTCTAACCACTTAAGAAAGATTGCCAGATAGCAAAGATCCCTCAGGGTTTTGAGATTTCTATTTGGATTCGAATGAGCAGGTCACTCTTCAGACTTAGATTCCCAGGGATATTCCTCACTGAAAATAAAAGATTTCTCTAGAAATGGGGAACTGGAAACTTCAACCAGAAAGGGTTTTCTGTGAGGGGTTGACAATGCATGGGCAGTGCAGAGGGCAAGGGAACTTTTCCCCGTATTTTCAAACAAGCATAAAGGAGTTCTATTTTTAAGGTGCTTTTCCATCCCCCTCTCATGTAGTATTGTCCTTTTAGGGATATATCCCCTAATGTGAGTGTCCTCTTATTCTGGGATGGCACTGCCCTGTCTAGAAATTTGCAAGAATGCTTTTTTAGTGAGGTAGGATTTGTAGCTACTCATTGCTTTTTACTTGTTTATTTTCATTTCTTTCATATTTGCTTAAATGTCTTCCTGGTCTTTGTTCTTAAATTATAAATTGTTAACAGTGTTACTTAAAATTATGTTGAGAGTTGAATTCAGAGAGCAGAGAATAGAGGTCAGTTTCCCTGAGCAAAGAGATACTTAATGTGGCACCCATAGTTAAATTCTCTCCCTGTGGATGACCCTCAGTGGAGCCATTTCTAGGAGGAGTAAGTCAGAGAGTGTAGCACACACATGGCAGTGACTGAAATTGTATGGGGACTGTTATGGATGTTTGGAAAACTGGCTCCCCATCCAAGAAAATCTTTAACCCATGAATGCACAGATAGAGGAACACCAGGGATTCTTCATACAATGATTTTTGAGGAGGACAGACAATTGTGGGAAATCTTAGTATAGCAACAGGGCCTGAATAAGCTTCCTCACCTCCCAGTTATAGGTCAAATCAATGTCAGTGATCTTCACTGAACATGTCGAAATCTTACTTTAAAGGCAAGGTGCCATGGCTGTACAAATGAGTATGAAACTGGGCCTGCCTTGTGGTGCAATAGGTTAGGTGTCAGCACTATGAAGCTGCAGCAACTGCAGCATGAGTTCAAACCCAGCCAGGGAGCTGGGCACAGCAGACCTCTCCTGTGTCACCTACTACTCCCCTCAGCAGTGTGTTTCAGTAGATCTGTCTGTTCTGCTCCCCACTCTGTCTCTGGTGAATCATCTCTCTGGCCTGTACCCCAATTCTTATATGCATAAACAAATCTTAAAAAAAATGAATATGGAACCAACTGGGCTAAGAATTAGGGGCTCTAAATATTTCACTTTTGAAAAGTAACATTGCAAAGTAACCTCTTCAATAAATGTTGAAAATCAGTTGAACGGGTGATCTGTGAGCACTAAGTGACAAGTATTCTGTCATTTCCTGGGTGGTGACTTTTGGTTGCCAAGTGTTTTTAAGTGAAATGGATTAAAAAATAAAATGTTTACATCTATCATTTGCTCACTAATTTCCCTTTGTATGAAGACTATCTTTTAAAAGGTGAGCATCCAACAGTAAAAAATTAAAGTGAAGATGTGCTAAAAACATGGAATTATAAAGTCCTGAACATAAAAGAAGAGAAATGGTAACTTGATTTTAATGCATATAGAAATGTGTAAAACCTATATTTAAACTTCTGAACCTAAAAAAAGTAAAATATGTACTTAAATTCCTGAATCTAAAATTAGGGAATCCATAACTTGATTTTAATGTGTGTATATATGTATCACACATATAATTACATATCCCTTGCATACAAAATTATCTTTTTTGGTGAAATTCACAAAGCAAAATTGTGTTTTGCTCTAGGAAAATTTCTAGAGATTTAATGAAATTCCTTTCACCATATTCCAGTACAATTATGAAAAAGACCAAAGGTTTTTTAATTGCTTGGGTGCTAAAACATATGCTTCAATTTTTCAAAAAGTACATCAAAATTGAGTTTTACAACCATACAGGAATGATTACATGAGGCCACTTAATGCCAAAAATCTGTGGGACACACACACACAAACTTTTCAGAATAAAAGAAAGATTTTTTATCCTTAAATCACTTTATCAAAGGAGAAAGAAAGTACACATAAGGGCTCATGAGGTCATAGAAACAAAGTGAACAATGACAAAAACTGACTTGAAAAAACAAAAGCTTAACATAATATGAAACAGTATAAAGTCAAGAGTCTAGTCAACACTCTTGGGAGCTTTGTATCCTTGTTTCTTTTTTCCCCATGTCTTCCCTTCTGTCTTAACTTTTCCTGTTGAAGTATGTCTTTTCCCATCCCCTTAATTGTTTTGTGTGTGTTGAACTCCCTGAGACCACATCTGCCTGAAATTGGCCTTGCTTGTCACTTACTCTTGAATGGAAGTTTGACTAATACAATTTTAGGTTAGCACCTTTTTTCCTCATAGCATTTTGAAAATATAACTTCATTTTCTTCTTACATTTAATGTTGTCAATGAGACTTTGTTTATAAGCTGTCATTTCCTTGGTAGAGTAACCTAAGCTATGGGGTTTCAGAGTCTGCTTTTGAGCTGAGCAACTTGGTGTCTCTCCTAGGGAGAGCAGAATTCTCAGTGATGACCTTGAGAGTTTGTACTGCTTTTCTTGACATGTTTTCTGAAACTGCACTTGACAAGTGTTGGAGCCTCTGTCCTTCATGTCTTGGTTTCAGTTGCCTGGGGTAAGGTCTTCAGAATTATTAAAGCTTACTATCTCTTATGTTTAGTAGTATTATTACTATTACTATTTTAATGAAAGTATTTTTTATTTGCAGTGGGACTTTTTCCGCATCCACCTGTTCCTGTAATGTTTTTGTATGAACTTTGTACACAGTCATTTTCAACTATTTTGTAGAAGATGCATTTTTCCTGGCATAGTGAGTTATTCCAGGCTTCCAGAGTTTCTGTGTATGACTGTTTTAGCCTTGACTCCCCCTCACCAGCAATGAAGTCAGCTGCAGTGCTGCTCACTGTGCAGAGTGCTGTCTATATTCAGTGGTCACTGTACTGCAGAGCTGACTGCTTCCTGCACAAATGTTTTCTACCCTGTCATTTCTGGCCTTTCCTGGTTTTCAATGCCACAATGATTCCAGGAAAGGTAATGCACTTTATTTTTCCATTGTAAGGATCTAGGTCTGCAGGTAAAGGGTGTCACCATATAGCCAGAGAAGGTTGCCTGCTGAGGACAGCTGTCTTGTTTCCCCTTGTCTTTACTGCTTTGGCATCTTTCCACCTTATTTTGTATTTTGCTGTTCCAGCCTAACACTAGGTTTGAGGAAGATAAATGCAATTTTTTTGATGTTGAGGGATTTCAGAAAGGGAATCCAAACTTCCTAACACTTTTCATGCATGCTTTTTAAAAATTTTTAAATGTCTTCTGCATTTTGTACTCTATATCATTTATTCTGTATGTCTTAATATACTTGGAGAAGAGTAATTTAGACTTGTACCTTTAAAAACTAGTATTTTCCTAGCTAGTCGGTAGACGTTGCCCATTGACTTGGTTTCACTTGAGAAGACTTGTTGGATCACACCAGCAAATAGCATATTGCTCTTTATAAATTGTAGCAGCCTACGTTATTAGTTGAAACACATATCAACCAACAGTAGCCTATTGATTGAGGAAAAAGAATGTCTTTGAAAGAATATCTGGTTGCTCCAAGAATTGGCAAAGAAACCTCTAAGATGGTCAAGACTCTACAGACAGAAGCATCACTGTGGAACATGAGTTCCTTACATTCCTGAAGATGTAAGTTATTTAATATATCTGCATTGGTTTCTTCTGACTCCAAGTCTGGGAAAGTGCCTGGTTCTGGTAGATCCTAGGTTTGCCTGCATCTGAGCTATGTGGAAGGTTGGGAAACAAGGGCCGCTCGTGCCCGATGGTCTCCAGAGAGTCTGCAGTGGCAGATTCACACCATTGTCTGTCTTGGTCTCTTCAGGCTGCTCTAACAAAAACATAGACTGGGTGATGAGTACTAAGATTAGGGTACCAGAAGATTTGAGGTCTGACGAAGGTGCACTTTCTGGTCCATCAGTGGCCATCTTGCTGTGTCTTCACTTGGGAGAAAGAATGAGAGAGGTCTTGGGTTTCTTTTCTAAAAGCACTAATCCCTTCTATATGAACTCCACCCTTATAACTTAATCACCACAGCCCTACCTTTTATAATAGTACCATCACATTAGTGGTTATTTCAGCATGTGGAATCTGGGGGGCAGCGGGGTCCATAGCAGGCACAACCTCGTTGTTGGCCTGCAGTTAAGTTTAAATAAGCTTCACTAGACTGAAGACATGGAAACTACAGGTTTCATTGTTACAGTAGAAGTTTCATCAGGAAACTAAGCAGCACTCAGAGAAGAGGTAGGAAATTCTTTATTAACACCAG